CGCAGTTGATTTGTGTACACACTGTAGCCCTGCAATTGATGGTCCATTCATGTTCACCATGTATAATACTTGTGGTATCCATGAAGAATTGACATAGCTACATTTCACTGTCCACGTATCAATGCAAGGAACAGACGACCCATTATATGCAGTCAATTTTGGATGCTGTATTATTGACTTTGAACCATCCAGATACATGTCTGTTAGAATTCTGACCGGTAGAATGTTTGCACTTGCCTTATTTTTGGTCTTAAGTGTGTGTTTACTTCAAGCATATGATGTCAATAGTGGAAAAAAGCTTCTAACCATTTGACTTTGTCCACACATTGTGTCACATTTAGAATTTCAAAAGCTTATTTGCCATCTTGTTGAAGGTTCTTCCACTTTGAAACTCGACTGTGTTCAATCTTGCTGTTAATCTCACGTATCTATGCTTGTATCTATATATCGTGTCTATGCTTATTCAGAATCTTACGTACATTTCCTGTTGCTGCTGGCAGTGGATCTCACATGATTTTAATTTAGTTGTGCAGTAAATCTAGCCTTTGGTTGCATCTTTGGAACCAGACTTCCTGTACAGGCAGCCCTGGTTTCCTTTCATACCACATGACTTACAAAATCTTTGCACCAGCCTTGTGGTGTTGCAAAACACTGCACTAGTCACATAGCTTGCTCACTTTCTGCACTTTGGCTAGCATGCCAATACTGGTAACTGCATGTGGTCCTTCTCAATGTTGTTGCCTGGCTACATTGGTTTCACATTTTCTGCCATCTTTTAGCAGTGTGCTGAGGTTTTGACCTTTCTTTTTCTTCAAGATGTCTTTTTGGAAAGCTTTGATGAACCTTGAGACATTATAACCAGTTCCATTGTCCACTCAGATAGCTCAACCTCTGAGAAATCATATCGCTTGCCCTTGTCATGGCATATACTGATGTCTGAGTAATTGATTATGTTCATTTAAGACATCACTTCTAGGCAATGAATTCTAACGTTCACCTCTACCTGAAGTTGATCTTCCAGCATTTCCCATAGATAATCAGGATCTTGCTGCTTCTCTTTACACAGACTCGAAGTGTTGATTCTGTGCAAGCCCTCATTTCCAATGGCCATCTTTAATTTCTTCACTTGCTTCTCTGGTTTTGCAAAGGCTTTTTCCTAGGTATTCAAGTTCATATTGCTGCCTTCTTTTTCAGGGAAAATCATCTGTTATTACCAAACCCCAGGCAAGAATCCCCAAATTATTACACTTCCAGATAGATACCCAAATCATTAAGCTCCCATGTGAGGATAGATGAACCGACTCTCCTTTATTCATCCAGCCCTTCAGTGGGTTGTAACCAGCATCATTCAAAAAAGATTCCTCCATTGTGGATGCTTATCTACTAGATGAAATGAATTTAAATCTTAAAATCAGCCAACTTAACTAGGCTTTCTTGTGTTAAGAAAAGAGCAAGTTTATTTGTTTCTGAACTAAAAAAATGTAACACCATATACATACACATAGATTAGGAAAAAGAACTCCAAATAAAGATAAAGGTTAAATGATACACAGATCGGTTTCTCTGTGTGGGTCAGAAAGAATGGTAATAGTTGAACAATCAGTTTTGAAATTCTTAGCTGTTGTAGGTGAGTTGAAATTCTTTTGTGCAATTTTACTTTGATGTGTTTAGCTGACAGCACTCAGAGTGAAAGGCTTTTCTTGTCCTATTTCTTTCTGGCTGGTTTGCTGACCTAGTTAGTTTCTAGTACTCAGAGTAAAAGGTTAATTTTACCTGCAGCACAGAGGTGATTAGTGGGTGATTCTTTGACTGTGACCTTCACAGCACACTAACAGTCAAACCCAGGCTAGCATACATGAATACCTCAGTTTAGCACGACTTCTATAACAGGCACAATTTCTTCCCTTTTCACAGACTGATGCTGCAGTTGGTTATTAACCCATTTTGTATATTTCTGGAATGGCAAAACACAAAAAAGTCTGCAAGAAGTTGCTTTCTTCTGAGAAAGAGTAGATAATCAGCTCATTCGTGATCTCTTCTTGTTACATCTTTGTTTCTGTTTGAAGTTTCCCTTTACAGTCTACAATTATATCAGTCCATGAGCAATCCTTTTTTTTTGTCTTCAAAAAAATAGCATTTTGGAATTAAAAGTTGAAAATGTCCATAGTATCTCAGGGTCCAAATCCATCATCATGAAAAACCATTCATAACCATGTTGTATTCTTGAGTTCCTTAAGACAGAATTACCACTCTCAAACTAGATTGAGAAGTAGCTTAGGTTCAAATTGCTTGAAAATCAATAACAGGTTTACTTAACAGATAGACAGATAACTTGCAATTGTAGAGCAATTTATATACACACCCTTAGTCTAGCGTGCTGTTGTTTAGCATCCTCATGGCTTCTGGTCATGTGGCATGGTCCTGATCTTGGATTCATTAGCAAACTCAGCTCTTAAAACAGTAATGCAACAACTCTCAGTTGTTGGAGACTAGTTGGTTCCATTTGGTCAAGTGTTAGTCAGGGAACATTTAGAAAATAGTGATCATATCATCACCTGAATTGAGGTTAACTCTGGTAATTTAAGGTAAAAATATAAAGTTGGAGCAGGGCCTATTTCAGTGCGGTGAGCTAGATCTGTACCAGTTAACTTGGAATCAAAGAGTAGTGGATAAAACTATAATTAAACAATGGGATGCCTTTAAAGACAGATGGTTTGAGTACATTTTGGGTACAATTTGACAAGGGAAAAAGATAGGAAAAAGAAAATCAGAGTGTCCTTGATAAATTTAGAGAGAAAGATAGAGGCAGACGGCACAGTTGTGGTATGAATATATTGTATTTTTTCTTTACCAAGGATGAAGAGACAAAGAAAATCATTATGAGCAGAAGTGGTTTGGACACTGCATGGGCTAACACTTAATAAAGAGGGCATATTAGAAATGTCTGCAGTACTTAACATTAATAAGTTATCAGGATCAGATAGGATGCATCCAAGAATGTTGAGGGAAGTAAGGGCAGAAATTGCAGATTCAATGGATGCAGAGATGGTGCCAGAGGACTGGAGAACTGCAGATGTTCAACCATTCTTCAAAAAAAGGGTGCAAGGGTAAACCTAGAAATTACTTTGATCCCAGTTAATATTATTACTGGACAAGACAGATCCCAGACAGAAACCTGGCTCAATAGGTTATAATTGATTTGTTTTCATTTTAACAAAGTGACCTCTCACTGAAACACGGGCACGGAGTACTAAATATTTTGTTTTAATGGTAAAACAGAAGTTTCTTAACAAAAGAAATAAAAATAAAATAGAATAAACCAAACCATGTACTCACAATATAAATTCACAATTTTTAGACACACTAAGAAAGTGTAATCCCATTTATCCAAAAGTACCCTTTTATAAATTGAAAATTAAAAAAAAACAGCTTTTGCATACTACCCAAAAATACACCCCCATACAGCACTCAAAACACTACTCATTCAATATTCATTACATGGCCCCATCTTGGTAGGTTTAAGTCATTTTGAATCTAATGTTTAGACTGAAACCGCAAATAGCTTCTTCCTGGAGCTATCATAGTCCACAGCTTCAATGTACTCTGCATTAAGTAACCTCTTCATAGTGTTATGCCAACACTTCTGGTTTTAGACTATCAAAACTTCTTCATCTGGGATAATTTAATTCATTATATATCCCCTTACTTAAAAGCTTGGATTTATACAGCCATCCTATTCTAAAGACTTCACAGGACTGCTCCACTTAATATAAAAACTGAAACCCAAAAGTCTCACTCTCTAATCTTGAAAAAAAATCCAGTTTTGGAAGTGTCTAACAAACTTCCATGTCCCGTCTGCTGGGTTCCAAAAAAATCTAAAATAAACAAACGTTCATTACTGGTACACACAAACCCAATCACTCTAAAACCAAGCCTCAAATCTATTTTAAAATAAATCACCACGGCTACAGAAATACTTACAAGTTAATTCTTATTAACTTCAGACATACAGAAAACCAACCAGTTAGTAAGTCAAAACCCAGAAACTCACACCTGCAGTAAATAACATTAAATTTATAAATTGCACAGTTTACATGAGCCTTTAACCTTTGAGCTGGGAAAGGGTTCAGAGACAGTAATCTCAGCCAAAATTAATAATCACTTACACAATTATGGAGTAATTAGGGAAAGCCAGCAAGGATTCCTTAGTCACAACTTCTAATTAACTAATTGATTGAGTTGTTTTATGAGGTAACTGTTTTAAATATGCTGAAAAAAGTACACATTGCAAAATTACACTCTGTCAGAGAATTATCCATCCCTGATTTGCACACTCTCAGAGTATAGTGCTAACATCTTAGTGGTACACTCTGAGTAGAATATTATACAGCCCTGTGTCACACAGAGAACAGTATTATACATCCCGGTGTTACGCACTGAATACAGTATTATACATCCCTGTGTTACACACTAAGTACAGTATTATGCATCCCAGTGTCACACACTGAGTACAGAATTATACATCCCACTGACACACACTGAGTACAGAATTATACATCCCAGTGACACCCGCTGAGAACAGTATTATACATCCCAGTGCCACTCGCTCAGAACAGTATTATACATCCCAGTGCCACTCGCTGAGAACAGTATTATACATCCCAGTGACACTCGCTGAGAACAGTATTGTATATCCCAGTGACACTCGCTGAGAACAGTATTATACACCCCAGTGACACTC